ATGACCAGATTTTCACTCTGACACAGATTTCATTACACATCAGCTAGAGAATGTATTACACAGAATCTGTTCCATCCTGCTGGATTCAATGTTTCCGAGGATCATTAATCTATCTAATTACATTTACTGGTCATCAGGACATCTGTAATTAATGTTTTGTCTCTTCTGTGTGCTTCCTTCCTTCAGGTTCCCCCAATGCCACGTGATTTCTGCAGCCCACCCCCACCTGATTACAGCAGCTCACAGTCTCTAGGGAGCACAGCTGTTGCCAAGCAACCTGGTTCAGGCGGCTTCCAAGTTTCCCAGTTAGCTCTGATGCTACAGCTATGGTTCTGTGCCAAACCAGATCGGCAACAGTCATTTTTGGGGCTTTTATCTCTGGACATGAATATTATTTGACTTTTTGACTTCATGTTCCCTGACCAGTTATAGTCCCGGGGAGTGTCATCATTTTTATCATCTCATAATAAGATTTCAGCTTACTCCACTGAACATTTTCATGCTTATCTCATTTTCAGACTCCCAAAGTCAGCTCCATGCTTTCTCTTCCAGGGAACTATATCATTTTCCATCCCTTTGTTTTGTTTTACTTTGTTTGGGGGCCACATCTGGTGACACTCAGGGCTTATTCCTGGATCTATGCTCCAGATTCATTGCTAGCAGTATTTGTGAGATCAAACGTAGTGCCAGGGATTGAACAAATTCACAGCATGCAAGGCAAGTGCCTTAATGCCCATGTTCTCTCGGACCCACTGAACTTTGAATCTCAATGGGTGTCTGTTGATGAAATGGGATGTCCAGCCCACTGCCACAGCAGGACTCCAGATTGCCAGCCTCATCTTTACAGGCAGGAAATGCTACAATATGCATGGTAATCAGAATGATTATATCCAGAAATCACATACAACCCCAGTCATATTTATTGCAAGAACCATTAGGCTGTGATCTAGAAGCAGATCACCTCTGCAAAAGTTTGATGTGGTTTCCAATCAGAAGTAAAACATTGAAACCCTGTATGTTCACATGAAAATCATGTTCTGAATACTCCATGAAAAGAGCATCATCACATTAAAAGATACAGAAAAAAACAATCCAAGCTGAAAAGGCTGAATAGAGACTTAACTATATATCACTTCAGTGAGACAAGAATCGACCCATCCCACTTTCAGCCCTAGCACTTTAAACCCCAGAAGTTTGAAACTGAGCACACTGATTACTAAATGCTAAGGAAAGTTGAAGAGAGGAGTTGGCTTCCCGCATGTTCTGTATCTGTACGTAGTAGAAAAGAAGGCCCAGATTTATGTCATTTTTTTTTTGCTTTTTGGGTCACACCCAGCGATGCACAGAGGTTACTCCTGGCTCATGCACTCAGGAATTATTCCCGGCGGTGCTCGGGGGACCATATAGGATGCTGGGAATCGAACCTGGGTCGGTCGCATGCAAGGCAAACACCCTACCTGCTGTGTTATTGCTACAGCCCCTATGTGTCATCTTTGATGCCAGCAAACTGAGTAAAGAGACCCTCACCAAATGTGATGGATACTATCCAGTCTGTTCTGGGCAAGAAAGAACAAACCATAAAGGTAAATACCCTCTTTTTAATCTGGGTTGTCCATGTTTTTCTACCTTTGAACACCAGACTTCCTGGGTCCGTGGCCTTTGTACACTTTGTCCCCTGAGCCTTACCACTGATGGAGCTCAGTTCCAAAGCCTTTGGCCTTGGATTGATTTATCACTGACATTCCTGGTTCTTGTGTCTTGGTCATGGTCACGGTCACGGTCCTCCCGTTGTTCATCTATTTGCTCAAGCGGGCCCGGTAACGTCTCCTCCGTGAGACTTGTTACTGTGTTTGGCATATTGAATACATCACGGGTAGCTTGCCAGGCTCTGCCGTGCAGGCGAGATACTCTCAGTAGCTTGCCGGGCTCTCCGAGGGGGGCAGAGGAATCGAACTCGGGTCGGCCATGTTGGCTGCATGCAAGGCAAACGCCCTACCCGCTGTGCTATCGCTCCGGCCCCGTGTCTTGGTACTCAAATGAAATTATAACACCAGTTTGTGGGGTCAGGGAGATAGTAAGCAAGTAGGGTCCTTATTTTGCATATGGCTGACATCGGTTTGATTCACAGTGAACTATATGGCCCCAATCAGGAGTGATTCCTGAGTGCAAAGCCAGGAGTATGCCCTGAGAACCAATGTACCCAGTTTCCCTCCCATTCACTCCCAATGTTCCCCCACCCACCAGTCTGCCTCTATGTCAGACAATTTTCCTCTCTTTCTCCCTTCCTCTTTCTCCTTTTGGGCACTGTGGTTTGCAATACTGAAAGGATATCATGTATATCCCTTTACCAATTTTCAATTCTTGTCCAGTGATCACCAGCATGGCCGACCTGAGTTTGATTCTTCCATCCCTCTCGGAGAGCCCGGCAAGCTACCGAGAGTATCTCACCCGCATGGCAAAGCCTGGCAAGCTCCCCATGACATATTCCATATGCCAAACACAGTAACAATTGTAACAGTGGAGACGTTACTGGGCCCGCTCGAGCAAATCAATGAACAATGGGAGGACAGTGACAGTGTTCCAGTGATCGTTTCCAACTATTGTCATACTGGTCCCTTCTCTGTGTTACCTGCCCTCTGCCCACCCCCACCCCCCACACCTGTGGTAGATTACAACCTGCATTAAGTTTTACCTATCTTCTATGGGTTCAATTTCTCTGGATAATCCTAATGCAAACATATATAAAAGCTATGCTAAAACTATGGATGGGCTGGAGATGTACTTCTGTGTATGCACTATATGGATAAAATCTTGGGCCTTAAACACATTTATTTCTATTTTTAAAATTTTGGAGCCAGTGCTTGGCCTAAACTCAGCTGGGATCGGGGCTTATGTGTGACTTTGTGTACAAGGATTACTCCAGGGAGGGATCCAGGGACCATATGTAGTGAGAGGTTCAAAACCAGACTGGCTGGTTTTTTTTTTTTTTTTTTTTTAGTGAAACACCATGAGGTACATTTATAGACTTACAAATTTTTGTGCTTGGGTTTCAGTTATACAATGATCAAGTACCCATCCCTCCACCAGAGCCCATCCTCCACCACCACGGGTCCCAGCATCCCTCCCACCCCCCATCTCCCCCGTCCCACCCTGCCTCTGTGGCAGGGCATTCCACCTTGTTCTCTCTCTTGTTTTGGGTACTGTGTTTTGCAAGAGAGGCATTGAGTGGCAATCATGTTTGGTCTACAGACTACTTTTAGCATGCTTCTCCCACCCTGGGAGGGTCCTCACAACACCCTTTATTTGGTGCTCTCTTCTCTATCTGAGCTTCCTTTTCACCTAGAACGTGTGGCTGGCCTTCAAGTCATGGAGCAATATTCCTGGTACTAATCTCAGCCATTCCTGGGTTTTAGTCTCCCGTTTTGTTGCTTTATGTTCCCCAGATGAATACAATCTTTCTGGTCTATCCCGCTCTTTCTGACTCATTTGGCTTAACATGATACTTTCCATGTAGTACCACTTGTATGTAAATTTCATAACTTCATCTTTTCTAACAGCTACATAGTACTCCATTGTGTAAATGTACCAAAGTTTCTTTAACCAGTCATCTGTTCTCGGGCACTCAGGTTTTTTCCAGATTCTGGCTATTGTAAAGAGTGCTGCAATGAACAAATAATTGCAGATGTCACTTCGACTATACCTTTTTGCCTCTCTGGGATATATTCCCAAGAGTGCTATAGCTGGGTCAAATGGCAGATCAAATTCTAATTTTATGAGAATCGTCCATACTGTTTTCCAAAAGGGTTGGACCAGCCGGCATTCCCACCAGCCAGACTGGCTGTTTTTAAGGCAAGTGCTTATCCACTGTGTTACTTTCCAGGTTCTTGGGGTCTTGGGTTTGACCTTAAGACCAAATATCAAACTATGGAATATGACCAAAGCCTCTCAGAGGAAAAACATATGTTTAAATGTTTTTAACATTAAACAAGAATTAAAATAAAGATGCTGGGTATTTATTTAAAGAATAATGTGTAGGGCATAAAATAAGTTTCATCCCATCTTCACAGTACAGTCTTGTATCTCAATGACAAGGATATGTTCTGTGAAACACGTCGTTAGATAATTTAATTTTTGTATGAACATCAGGGCATACTTAGAAAATTCAGGTTAGAATAGGCCATCATACATCTAGGCTGTGTTTCATAGCTCAGGGAAAGTCTCTTATTGACAGACTGTTGAACAACACATGCCCATAAGGTGGGTCCTACTTTTGTCCTTCGGATTTATGTACTATTATGTACCTCTCTTTTTTTTAAATGCCAAGCACAGTCACATAATGTTATCATTGTATTATCTGTTTCCAAAAATTATGTCATATATTTATTGATTTGTTTCACAAATATTTCTTTAGTGCTTTTATATGCAGGGAGATACAGCAAAGAAACAGAGAGCAGACACTCTCTACCCTGTAATGTTTATTTATATATAGGTGAGGATGAGGATGCAACTTGTAGTATGACTGCAATTAGCCTACTAGTTAAACTTGGGGCTGGAGCGACAGCACAGCGGCAGAGCGTTTGCCTTGCACACAGCCAACACGGCCGACCCGAGTTCGATTCCTCCGCCCCTCTCGGAGAGCCCGGCAAGCTACCGAGAGTATCTTACCCGCACGGCAGAGCTTGGCAAGCTACCTGTGATGTATTCGATATGCCAAACACAGTAACAACAAAGTCTCCAATGGAGATGTTACTGGGCCCGCTCGAGCAAATTGATGAACAATGGGAGGACAGTGACAGTGACAGTGACAGTGAAACTTGACTGTACTAAATGCTAGAGCCATGAACCCATTACCATGGCTGGGGGAAATAGAGTTAACTCAAACTTAGGGTGTGTGGGGGGAAAGTCAACTGCAGTGCTTGTGTCTGTTCAGAGAAGCAGCTCTAAGTTGTTCGATTAGTTAATGTTACTGAAGCAGAAGAACACATACATTTCTACTTTATTAAAATATTGCATAGATACAGAGTAGTTGGGCACATCCATTCTAAGGCACTCTTCTGGTTTGAATGCAATTCCACAAGAGAGAAAAGAGAAGCCATTACATTCGGTATTTTTCCATCTCTACATTCAGACTCCTCCCATATTACATGTTTATTGCTACTGGGATCTTAATCCCACACTCATAGCAGCATCATACAGGGACCCAGATGACAAGGATTAAAGACACATCCTGGTTCTAGTATGTGATATGATTTGGCACTTAACTACAGACTCTCTTGTACTCTCTTCATTTGTTTCCCAACTATTGTTTAACTAAAGATACTATAAAACCTTTATGAACCTGACCCATGATTTATTTTCTTTACTAGTTTCCATTAAGCCTAGAACAGGGCTTGTTAGGCACATAGTAAATACCTCCAAAATACTTACATTAAACTTAATTCCAAGAACTTTAGTGGAACAGAAAATAATACTTGCCCTAATTCTAGTTTGAGGAAAAGATGATTGATATTTTCATAAGAGAAAAACACTTGACTAGTCCAATTTCTTGTATTTCACAATAACTAGGCTGAATGGATATTTTTGTGTCTTAACAGCTTTAACTGCCAAAGAAAGTTCTTCTCTTGCTACAGAAATTTGAGTCATTATCATGATTATATAAGAATATTTATAAGTAGTCATATATGTATGTGTGTATAAGTAAAATTTTAAAAGGCTGACAATTACTAGGTAATTTAGAAATTACCTGAATTAACAACACTCACCTCCTTAAAATATTCATCTTACATAAAAATGCTTAAAAGACTTTTGTCATAACACCCTCAAAACAAAAATAACTAGTCTTGAGGGGCAAAAAGACTATACTGATAGCTACAGAAACATCTGTTTAAGGCAGTGTTTTTCAAGAATAGTCTCATAATACTGTGGGTTACTACTTGGTGTAAATAAAAAAGGATTCTGGGGTCAAATACATTTATAAAACACTGAGTCAAAAGAATGACTGCCCCCCTTTACTGGAGGATCTCTCAGAGATTCTCAAAGGCTGATATAAACTGTGAATCTAGGAAAGGAAATCATAGGGATTCCCAAAGTAATTTACAAAATATCTGTATAGAACTGTTGTGTTGTAAGATGCATACTGAATGAGGCACTCAAATAGAGAATAAAAAAAACTTTTTAAGCACTGAGAAACATGTGATCAAAGAGCAAACAATTAAGGAGACACTGAATTAAAGAATAAAAAAATTTTTTTGAAAAACACCAAGACACAAGATTGAATATAAAAGGAGAGCAAAATACAGCGAGTAACAGTTCCTCTCTATTTTATAAGTTCAACTGTCACGTTGATCCTTCCACATAGAACTTATTCTCTGAACAATATAAATCAGTTTAAGACTCAGCTTTAAACAACATGAACACAGACTATCAACTAAGTTAACTAGCAAATATTGCAAAATTCAAATGTAAAGGCTAAAATACAATTTTCTTCAACATAAACAATTTCCATGAAAATAACTCAGCTATTAGCAGAAAAATGGCACCACCTTCAGTTTTGTGTTCCTGGCACATTTTTATTCTCTGATAATTGTCTTATTTCCTGACACTTGGGCCGCATAGAAGTTGTGAACTAATATAATCCTCATTCATAATGACAGCAGAAAATTATGGTGCTATTTTATTAAGACATAATCAGGAAGATGTGATTATGCATTTTACTGACTATACGTTGAAAAATACTGTCATCATTTATATGTTTTATGCTTACATCGATGTTATGTATGAATGGTTGGTGTGGAACACAAACATTTTCATTGTCATAAAAAATAAGAATTGTAGAGACAGCATAATAAAACCTAGGAAGTAGTAATAGTATATAGGTGGGTACTATTGAACTCACATGTTTCAAAAGATGGGTTTTTAAAATAGGTACAAAAAGTCGTTCTTATGAGCTCAAACACAAAGGTTCTTCCAAGACAAATAAGGTTGTTGACGGTTTGGGGTATTTTGTGTTTAAGTTTCAGTTTCCCTTAAAGATTCCTAAAGAAGTCCTCTAAAGTGAGTGACCTGGTGCATAATAAGGCCTGCTCTCTGTCTGAAGTTTTTAGAACAATGACTGCACTTGTATGGCTTCTCCCCTGTATGAATTCTTAAATGAATAACAAGGCTTGGTCTCTGTCTAAAGCTTTTCCCACAAAAGTTACACTTAAAAGGTCTCTCTTCAGTGTGAGTTCTCTGGTGCAAAGTAAGAGCTGTCAGTCTACTAAAACTCTTCCCACAATTATGACATCTATGAGGTTTTTCACCTGAATGAGTTTTAAGATGCCTTTTAAGACTAGATCCATGACAAAAGCTTTTATCACACTCAATGCATTTATATGTTTCTTCTTCAGAATGGGTTCTCTGGTGCCCTATAAGGTGTGACCGTCGAGTGAATCGTTTTTTACACACAGTACATTCATAGGGTCTCTCCCCTGTATGAAGTCGTTGGTGTCTATACAGATCTGAACTACGAAGGAATCTTTTTCCACATTCAGGGCATTTGTGAGGTTCTTCTCCTGAATGGATTCTCTGGTGCCCAGTAAGTTGAGACTTCCGAGCAAAACATTTTTCACACTGAGAACATCGGTGAGGTTTATCTCCTGGACTCTTCTTCTTCGGGGATTTAGAGTTCAGAGGTTCTTCTAAGGTGGAGCTCTCAGGGTTCTCGCCTATAGAGGGGCCCTGCTCTTCTACAAGATTTGTTAAATCTGCCTGTAAATCCTCTGGGGGTGGTTCCCACTGATTTTCTAATTGTTCAAAGTCTTTTTGTAAAATGGGACCATGAAGAGAATCCCCCTCTAAAGAAACAACAAATGGGTACATATTCTCCAGCTTTTTCTGTTTGGATGGATCTTCTTCATTTTCTATTCCGAGCTCAAAACCTAAAAAAAGAAACAGAAACTGTTTCCCACGAGAAAAATGCATGAGGGAAAATGACATACTACCAGTCATATACGTTTTACAACATAGACCCAAAATTCTTTATCCAGATTAAGGTAGGTTTTCTTTCTCAGTATATCAATAATACTTACTTATCTTGGAATCAAGTAATTGTTTAATATCTTTGGACTCTTGTAAGTCCTTCACCCATTCATCTTCTCTATGTTCCAATGGGAAAGTCATGTCAAGCTTTGGTATTGGATATCCTAATCATAAGAAAGGCAAGAAGCAAAGAGTTGGGGTCATTGAAGAGTATTCCAGAGTCAGGCTGATATTTTGAATATATGGCTTACCTAATACCTACTTTATTATTATAACTTCACTTGTAAACTCTTTTCAAAGTTTAAAAGAGCTTTTAAAAACAAAAAAACTACGCCCGTTCCTCTCTGGAAAGAAAGATGGCGGCCGCACGGGAGCCTTGTGGAAAGCGGGTTTGAGCCGGGCTCGGGGGGGGGAGCAGCGGGGACCTCATGGGAAGGGGGGCTTTGTGGGCCGTCCCCCACGCCCCACCGGGGTCGCCAGCTGCCCCCCACGAGCGGCTCTCCGGCACGGCCACGGCCCCGGAGGCACAAGGACTTAGCACAGAGAACCAGCCGCTTGGAGCAGAAAAGCAAATGGACTTGTGTTGATCCGCGCCACCAAGCCTGCCCGGAGGGGGAAGGGCGTTGACCAGCCCGCCCGTTCCTCTCTGGAAAGAAAGATGGCGGCCGCACGGGAGCCTTGTGGAAAGCGGGTTTGAGCCGGGCTCGGGGGGGGGAGCAGCGGGGACCTCATGGGAAGGGGGGCTTTGTGGGCCGTCCCCCACGCCCCACCGGGGTCGCCAGCTGCCCCCCACGAGCGGCTCTCCGGCACGGCCACGGCCCCGGAGGCACAAGGACTTAGCACAGAGAACCAGCCGCTTGGAGCAGAAAAGCAAATGGACTTGTGTTGATCCGCGCCACCAAGCCTGCCCGGAGGGGGAAGGGCGTTGACCAGCCCGCCCGTTCCTCTCTGGAAAGAAAGATGGCGGCCGCACGGGAGCCTTGTGGAAAGCGGGTTTGAGCCGGGCTCGGGGGGGGGAGCAGCGGGGACCTCATGGGAAGGGGGGCTTTGTGGGCCGTCCCCCACGCCCCACCGGGGTCGCCAGCTGCCCCCCACGAGCGGCTCTCCGGCACGGCCACGGCCCCGGAGGCACAAGGACTTAGCACAGAGAACCAGCCGCTTGGAGCAGAAAAGCAAATGGACTTGTGTTGATCCGCGCCACCAAGCCTGCCCGGAGGGGGAAGGGCGTTGACCAGCCCGCCCGTTCCTCTCTGGAAAGAAAGATGGCGGCCGCACGGGAGCCTTGTGGAAAGCGGGTTTGAGCCGGGCTCGGGGGGGGGGAGCAGCGGGGACCTCATGGGAAGGGGGGCTTTGTGGGCCGTCCCCCACGCCCCACCGGGGTCGCCAGCTGCCCCCCACGAGCGGCTCTCCGGCACGGCCACGGCCCCGGAGGCACAAGGACTTAGCACAGAGAACCAGCCGCTTGGAGCAGAAAAGCAAATGGACTTGTGTTGATCCGCGCCACCAAGCCTGCCCGGAGGGGGAAGGGCGTTGACCAGCCCGCCCGTTCCTCTCTGGAAAGAAAGATGGCGGCCGCACGGGAGCCTTGTGGAAAGCGGGTTTGAGCCGGGCTCGGGGGGGGGGAGCAGCGGGGACCTCATGGGAAGGGGGGCTTTGTGGGCCGTCCCCCACGCCCCACCGGGGTCGCCAGCTGCCCCCCACGAGCGGCTCTCCGGCACGGCCACGGCCCCGGAGGCACAAGGACTTAGCACAGAGAACCAGCCGCTTGGAGCAGAAAAGCAAATGGACTTGTGTTGATCCGCGCCACCAAGCCTGCCCGGAGGGGGAAGGGCGTTGACCAGCCCGCCCGTTCCTCTCTGGAAAGAAAGATGGCGGCCGCACGGGAGCCTTGTGGAAAGCGGGTTTGAGCCGGGCTCGGGGGGGGGGAGCAGCGGGGACCTCATGGGAAGGGGGGCTTTGTGGGCCGTCCCCCACGCCCCACCGGGGTCGCCAGCTGCCCCCCACGAGCGGCTCTCCGGCACGGCCACGGCCCCGGAGGCACAAGGACTTAGCACAGAGAACCAGCCGCTTGGAGCAGAAAAGCAAATGGACTTGTGTTGATCCGCGCCACCAAGCCTGCCCGGAGGGGGAAGGGCGTTGACCAGCCCGCCCGTTCCTCTCTGGAAAGAAAGATGGCGGCCGCACGGGAGCCTTGTGGAAAGCGGGTTTGAGCCGGGCTCGGGGGGGGGGAGCAGCGGGGACCTCATGGGAAGGGGGGCTTTGTGGGCCGTCCCCCACGCCCCACCGGGGTCGCCAGCTGCCCCCCACGAGCGGCTCTCCGGCACGGCCACGGCCCCGGAGGCACAAGGACTTAGCACAGAGAACCAGCCGCTTGGAGCAGAAAAGCAAATGGACTTGTGTTGATCCGCGCCACCAAGCCTGCCCGGAGGGGGAAGGGCGTTGACCAGCCCGCCCGTTCCTCTCTGGAAAGAAAGATGGCGGCCGCACGGGAGCCTTGTGGAAAGCGGGTTTGAGCCGGGCTCGGGGGGGGGGAGCAGCGGGGACCTCATGGGAAGGGGGGCTTTGTGGGCCGTCCCCCACGCCCCACCGGGGTCGCCAGCTGCCCCCCACGAGCGGCTCTCCGGCACGGCCACGGCCCCGGAGGCACAAGGACTTAGCACAGAGAACCAGCCGCTTGGAGCAGAAAAGCAAATGGACTTGTGTTGATCCGCGCCACCAAGCCTGCCCGGAGGGGGAAGGGCGTTGACCAGCCCGCCCGTTCCTCTCTGGAAAGAAAGATGGCGGCCGCACGGGAGCCTTGTGGAAAGCGGGTTTGAGCCGGGCTCGGGGGGGGGGAGCAGCGGGGACCTCATGGGAAGGGGGGCTTTGTGGGCCGTCCCCCACGCCCCACCGGGGTCGCCAGCTGCCCCCCACGAGCGGCTCTCCGGCACGGCCACGGCCCCGGAGGCACAAGGACTTAGCACAGAGAACCAGCCGCTTGGAGCAGAAAAGCAAATGGACTTGTGTTGATCCGCGCCACCAAGCCTGCCCGGAGGGGGAAGGGCGTTGACCAGCCCGCCCGTTCCTCTCTGGAAAGAAAGATGGCGGCCGCACGGGAGCCTTGTGGAAAGCGGGTTTGAGCCGGGCTCGGGGGGGGGGAGCAGCGGGGACCTCATGGGAAGGGGGGCTTTGTGGGCCGTCCCCCACGCCCCACCGGGGTCGCCAGCTGCCCCCCACGAGCGGCTCTCCGGCACGGCCACGGCCCCGGAGGCACAAGGACTTAGCACAGAGAACCAGCCGCTTGGAGCAGAAAAGCAAATGGACTTGTGTTGATCCGCGCCACCAAGCCTGCCCGGAGGGGGAAGGGCGTTGACCAGCCCGCCCGTTCCTCTCTGGAAAGAAAGATGGCGGCCGCACGGGAGCCTTGTGGAAAGCGGGTTTGAGCCGGGCTCGGGGGGGGGGGAGCAGCGGGGACCTCATGGGAAGGGGGGCTTTGTGGGCCGTCCCCCACGCCCCACCGGGGTCGCCAGCTGCCCCCCACGAGCGGCTCTCCGGCACGGCCACGGCCCCGGAGGCACAAGGACTTAGCACAGAGAACCAGCCGCTTGGAGCAGAAAAGCAAATGGACTTGTGTTGATCCGCGCCACCAAGCCTGCCCGGAGGGGGAAGGGCGTTGACCAGCCCGCCCGTTCCTCTCTGGAAAGAAAGATGGCGGCCGCACGGGAGCCTTGTGGAAAGCGGGTTTGAGCCGGGCTCGGGGGGGGGGGAGCAGCGGGGACCTCATGGGAAGGGGGGCTTTGTGGGCCGTCCCCCACGCCCCACCGGGGTCGCCAGCTGCCCCCCACGAGCGGCTCTCCGGCACGGCCACGGCCCCGGAGGCACAAGGACTTAGCACAGAGAACCAGCCGCTTGGAGCAGAAAAGCAAATGGACTTGTGTTGATCCGCGCCACCAAGCCTGCCCGGAGGGGGAAGGGCGTTGACCAGCCCGCCCGTTCCTCTCTGGAAAGAAAGATGGCGGCCGCACGGGAGCCTTGTGGAAAGCGGGTTTGAGCCGGGCTCGGGGGGGGGGAGCAGCGGGGACCTCATGGGAAGGGGGGCTTTGTGGGCCGTCCCCCACGCCCCACCGGGGTCGCCAGCTGCCCCCCACGAGCGGCTCTCCGGCACGGCCACGGCCCCGGAGGCACAAGGACTTAGCACAGAGAACCAGCCGCTTGGAGCAGAAAAGCAAATGGACTTGTGTTGATCCGCGCCACCAAGCCTGCCCGGAGGGGGAAGGGCGTTGACCAGCCCGCCCGTTCCTCTCTGGAAAGAAAGATGGCGGCCGCACGGGAGCCTTGTGGAAAGCGGGTTTGAGCCGGGCTCGGGGGGGGGGAGCAGCGGGGACCTCATGGGAAGGGGGGCTTTGTGGGCCGTCCCCCACGCCCCACCGGGGTCGCCAGCTGCCCCCCACGAGCGGCTCTCCGGCACGGCCACGGCCCCGGAGGCACAAGGACTTAGCACAGAGAACCAGCCGCTTGGAGCAGAAAAGCAAATGGACTTGTGTTGATCCGCGCCACCAAGCCTGCCCGGAGGGGGAAGGGCGTTGACCAGCCCGCCCGTTCCTCTCTGGAAAGAAAGATGGCGGCCGCACGGGAGCCTTGTGGAAAGCGGGTTTGAGCCGGGCTCGGGGGGGGGGAGCAGCGGGGACCTCATGGGAAGGGGGGCTTTGTGGGCCGTCCCCCACGCCCCACCGGGGTCGCCAGCTGCCCCCCACGAGCGGCTCTCCGGCACGGCCACGGCCCCGGAGGCACAAGGACTTAGCACAGAGAACCAGCCGCTTGGAGCAGAAAAGCAAATGGACTTGTGTTGATCCGCGCCACCAAGCCTGCCCGGAGGGGGAAGGGCGTTGACCAGCCCGCCCGTTCCTCTCTGGAAAGAAAGATGGCGGCCGCACGGGAGCCTTGTGGAAAGCGGGTTTGAGCCGGGCTCGGGGGGGGGGAGCAGCGGGGACCTCATGGGAAGGGGGGCTTTGTGGGCCGTCCCCCACGCCCCACCGGGGTCGCCAGCTGCCCCCCACGAGCGGCTCTCCGGCACGGCCACGGCCCCGGAGGCACAAGGACTTAGCACAGAGAACCAGCCGCTTGGAGCAGAAAAGCAAATGGACTTGTGTTGATCCGCGCCACCAAGCCTGCCCGGAGGGGGAAG